AGACACACACACGGACACACACACACACACACACACACACGCGCGCGCGCGCGCGCACACACACACACACATGCAAATCCCAGACTCACACATGACATACTAAAACTACTGACAGAGGATTGTGTTGAACAAAATTATGTCTTCAGCTTTTTAAAAAACGTTTATCGTTCAACACCCTTTTCAGGTCAAGGAGAATACGGCAGCCAAGGTCAAGGTCAAAACAACCAAGGAGGCGAGAGTCAAGGCCACTTCATTAATCAGGGAGTTCCAGTGCAGCTTGTGGACATTTCTGGTCAGCGCGGTGTGTTGACTCAAAACGGAGTAGCCAGGAGCGGAAATGTCGGCTCAAACGTGCGGCTTTCTAAGCTATCTCCGTCAGGTAGGTTGTTGCAAGTTGTAGTTGTTCTTTTTCTTCAGGTGTTCAGGTCAGAAGAGGACACTTCTTCCTGTTGTCTGTCTCTTTGGTGGGCTTGGTTTTCCTCATCGTGTAATTTGTGGCAAACTTGTTGTCCACGTCATCAGTGTGTGTGTTGTTCTTTGTCTTCCTCTGCTCTTCTTTCCCTCTATATTTCCACACAGCAGCAATTTGTCTAGTCCATTTGATCTTTTTATGAGGCCAAAGATTCTTTGTCTTTTCTCTAATGGCTCTAATAATAGATCTATCCCAACCTGCCATTTGGGGCACTTCTGTATTTGATGTTGTATCCCTCTCAGCCTGAGGTGGCCCTGACAGGCAGTGTTGGAAGCCCATTTCCTGAATTATCTGAATTGTGTCGATGGGGGCCTAAAACACTTTCATTAACTTAACATTAACCTGACACACAGTGAATTGAAAAGTGCACCTCCAAATATGCATATTACCAAAACAAGGAGAGAGCACTCAAACAAACATGGACTAGTTCAAACAAGTGACGAGAAAAGGGATGCTACAAAAGTACATCCCGGTCACCCCCTTCCTCCCCATCTATATATTATGTCATCACCCATCACCCTTCCTAAGCGTACTTCAAACTGCAGATACCACCCTCAAAGCGACCTGCTTGTATCTATAAGGACATCACACTCACGCAAAGGGTGCTCCATTAGCTCAGTTGATATCATGCTGGAATGTGGAACGGATGGCCCTGGTTCAAATTCCAGATTGGACGTTCTTGAACTCAAATCTGAGTTGTAGAGTTTTCAAGGCACGTAACCCATAATTTGGTTCCATCCTGTCTGAGACAGATGTTAAAATCGAAGGCCTCGCTTTTTAAGGCATAATAGTGTTGAAAGATATTTGTGGGTAGTTGGCAGATGTTGTTTGCTCCTTATTTCCTACCAAACATATATCGTCATTATCTCTCCACCCCATTTTTGTGTTTGTTACCCTCTTGTAACACCCCTAATCTTCGGCATTTTTTATACCCTTTTGCTGGTGCATGTGGTGCAAACTCTTACTTAAATAAAATAAATTATACATTTAGGTTCACTCACACATAGACAAACACAAAATCCACAGGAAGTTACGAGGCTCAGTCTTTCGTCTCCAGAAGGGGCAACATCGTCATCAGATCAGACAAAATCAACGCGGGGTCAAACACTGACCTGTCCTTTGACCTTATCAATGAGACCTCTCGCAGCAAAGTTATAATGTTGTTGTCATTTGTAGTTACTGTTATCGTTTTTATTGAAACGCATAGAACCACCATATGGAAATTTTATTTGACAAATGAATACTATATGTGATGTGATGTGGGCAATATGGCCTTAAACACCGAATAAACCTGCTTGCTTACAACTCTTTGGTAGTACATAGAAAAAATAACGAGGCAGTGTATCCTGTGCATGTTGTGTTATTCCCGTGAAACTGATACTATTTCTGAGTGTTCTATGGTCTGCTGTAATACTAATATAGTGTAAAGCATTATTATTATTATTATTA